AACACAACAACAAGTGCTCCTGAGTGCTGCATAGTATTCCATTGTGTGAAGGTACCACAATTTCTCAATCCATTCAGTTGTAGTTGGACATTTGGTCTGTTTCCATGTTCTTGAGATGGTGCATAATGCTGCTATAAACATTGGTGTACAAACCTCCATTTGTGTCTCAGTTCTAATTTCCCTGGAGTATATTACTAATAGTGGAATAGCTGGGTCATACAGAGTTTCTATATTCAACTTTTTAAGAAATGCCAAACTGTCTTCCAGGGTGGTTGTACCATATTACAGGCCCATCAACAGTGTATGAGTCCCCACCTCACCACATCCTCTCCAACATTTATTACTTGCTGCCCTACTAAACTTTGCCACTGCTAATGGGGTGAGATAGTATCTCATCGTGGTTTTGGTTTATATCTCTCTTATTGCCATTGATTTTGAGCATTTCTTCATGTGTCTGTTGGCCACCTGAGTCTCTTCCTCTGTCAAAAGACTTTCAATGTCTTTTGTCCATCTTGTAATTGGATTATCAGTCTTTTTTCTACTGGAGTCCCAGTAGTATTCTGTAAACTTTTTTTTCATAATTTTAATGAGCATTTACAGAAATTTTGGATTTCCATTCATTCATTGCTGCACTTCTCTCCCCGCCTAGCCCTCCCCCCTCCCCAGTCCCAGTTCACTCCTTTCTTTCAAAAGTAAAAGAAAACTCCTTCCCTGGTCCACAATCCCCCCGCACCCCTCCCACTGCCCCAAGTACATTCCACTATGCAACCTTAATTGTGGACTCTTGTGATAACCATAATACCCTATCATACATCGCTTTAAAAATATTCACTCCCTCATCTGTTTCAGTGCAGTATGCACAATTTATCCAGTTTTTCTCAGTCTTACCCCAACCCTGATATCAATCCCATTTTACAACAGTGGCACCATGTAATATTTGTCCTTTTGTGACTGAGATATTTCACTCAGCATAATGTTTTCCAGAGTCAACCATTTTGAATAATTTTGCATGAGTTCCTTGTTTTTCAATACAGTGTAGTATTCCATTGTGTGAATATATCACAGCTTCTCTATCCATTTGTTTGTTGATGGGCACCTGGAATGTTTCCAACTCCTTGTTAATGTGAACAGAGCCACGATAAACATGGGTGTGCATATATCTGCTTGGATGTCAGTTATGGTCTCTTTGGGATATATTCCCAGTAGTGGAATTGCTGAGTCAAATGGTATCTCTATTTGCAACTTTTTGAGAAAGTTCCATACTGCCTTCCACAGTGGTTGTACCATTTTACATTCCCACCAACAGTGAATAAGGGTTCCAGTTTCTCCACAACCTCGCCAGCATTTGTTGCTTGCTGTTCTGTTAAATTTTGCTATTCTGACTGGGGTGAGATGATATCTCATAGTTGTTTTTATTTGCATCTCTCTTAGAGCTAGGGATTTTGAACATTTCTTCATGTGCTTGTTGCCCATCTGAATGTCTTCTTTGGTGAAGTGTCTGTTCATATCCTGTGCCCATTTTTCTATTGGATTATTCACCTTTATCTTGT